TGAGGACTGCCTCTAAGTAGGCGAAACCTTGCCACAGAGGCGGAACAGTGTAAAGGTTCCATGTTCATTTCTAGAGAGTCACGCCAAAATTCTGTGCCACCTCAGGGGCGGTATTATACATACAGAAAGCATCACTTTTTAGTGAAAACATGTTAAAGCTCCTAACATAACAGATACCAAATTATTATGTATCTTTTTAAAATACTGTAAATTGCCTAAAATGGTTGATCTTCTCATCCAAATTCTATTTGAAATACCCACGGGTGGGCTATGTTATGCTGTTGCGGTTAGCGGCCATCCAGTCAGCCACAACTCATGGCAATCCCATGCACAACAGAACAAAAGCTGCCCAGTCCTGTGTGATCCCCATCATCATTTGCAGCAGACCATTGTGTCCCAAAGGGTTTTCACTGACTGATTTTTGGAAGTAGCTCACCAAGCCTTTCTTCCAAGGCACCTCTGGGTGGACTCAAACTTTTAACCTTTCGGTTAGCAGTCAGGTGTGTTAATTATTGGCACCATGTTCAACAGAGAGATTCCTACACTCTGAAGTTTTCAAATGAACACTAAAGAAACACAGATGACTATAAGCATTTATATCCTATGGAAGCCAAAGGATAAAGTATTGGATAGGGAGATAGGTGAAGAGGGAGTTTGGGAAATGCAAATTTGGGAAAATAGTGAAGTCATTATTAAAGCACTTACTTCAGTATAGTAAGCACAAGTCTGATATGAAGAGGCAGTTTGCTCAGTATTTTGCTTTTATTATTTTAGAGGCAAGCACTTTCCACTGGAGTGTGTCCAAACCAGCATCTGCCACCTGGGAAAGTGAGAGTTTGAACATACTGCACATGAAATATAAATAAAATTTAGAGGATTGTTGGTGCAGCAGGCCTTGGTTGGAAGCCAAAGATTGCAGCTGCCTTTTAAAGGGGTGTGGAAAGAGAGGATTTGCAATAGAAATGATTCCAAAATCATAATTCTGGTGGGTGTTTGTTACAAGAAGAAGTCCAAGGAGACTCATTTGGCTTTCTGTAAAGAATAGCCTATGTCCTCTGGCCTACGGAAAGTATGCTCTCTGCTTATGGCAGGACAAGAAACCCACTTAAAGAGAATCTCCCTGCTGGTATGTAGCTAGTTATGTTACATGACTTGATTGGCTCCCCTGAAAATTACTGTAGTTTTAAAATATGGATTAAGGAGCTACAACATGCCTGACGTTGTACCAAACATAAATATTACACAGACTTCCTTTTGGAAAATTGCATTCTAAGGCACATATGTCATATAAAGCACACAAAGCAAATATATATTTGTCACTTTTAAGATTCATAAACCACAAATAGCTTGGTCTTCAGGTATGCTAGCACACATGCACAAAGATATATGTGTATGGATATTTATTGCTGCATGGTGAAATTAGAAAAAGACTGGAAAACTGGAAAGAGCCTACTTGTGTATCAGTGAGGATGATTACACTGTGGCACATCCATCCATTAGAATACAATCTGGTCATTGAAAAGAATTAAGGGGATGTATATGTACACTGATAGGGCATGATCTCTAAGATTTAGCACAAGAGAAGGTAAGGTGCAGAATAGGATATACTAAGCTACCATGCGTAATTTTCTAAGGGGAAAATAAGCATACACACAAATACAAGGCTTATAAATGCATGAAATATATCTGGAAGGACATTTAAGAAATAGTAGCAGGTTGCTTAGGGAAGGCAATTGAGGGGCTGGGAATACATGTGGGAAAACTATGGAAGGTATTATTCTAGTTCAATAAGAAAGTACACTGAATTTTTTTTTAATAAGAACTTGACCAGAGGATAAATGGGAAAAGGAGTATTTAAAGTACAGCAGGAATCTCAGGATAAAAGGGGGAAATGTCTTACAAACAAAAATTCAAATTCTATTATAACAAATCTGTTACTATAAAATGAACATTTTGATGATAAAACTGTTCCCAGCACAGACTGCTCTGAAAGGGATCACAGTAGAGGGTCCTGGACAGAGCTGAGAAAAATGTAGAACAACATTCTGACTCACAAAAAAAGACCATACTAACTGGTCCAACAGAAACTAGAGAAACCCCAAGAGTACGGCCCCCGGACACCCTTTTAACTCAGTACTGAAGTCACTCCTGAAGTTTGCCTTTCAGCCAAAGATTAGAGAGGCCTATAAAACAAACAATAACACACGTAGTTCAACCGTGTATATGAGATGAAATGGCCACACCAGCCCAAAAGCAAAGACGAGAAGGCAGGAAGGGACGGGAAAGCTGGA